TTGAGAGGAATAAATTGATGTGTATGTTATTTAAATTACTAAATTGCTTTTTAAATATTAATATAATATTATTTTTATTATTAATTTTTGAATAATTTTTTTTAACCGCCAACATTTTAGATTTAGCTAAAACACCACAACTTATGTAAAATTTTAATTTATAACAAAATCACCCCTACCCACCCGAAGCCACTATCCGCCACCAGCCACCACCGCCAGCCATCGCCTTTGGCTGCCAGTAGTCACTGTAAGTTGCTGATATGGCCGTTTACGGCCATATTGATGACAATATCTGAGTAGATCTTGCCGGAAATGGCCAAATCTATTTTAGCCATTTCCAACCAGATCTACTCCGATATGGCCATTTCTGGCCATCAATATGACAAAAAAGGGGCATATCGGAGCCTCCCGGCAATTCTCGACAACTTCCAACGACGGCTGACAGTGGTTGGCTGGTTGACAGTGGTTGGCTAGCTGTCGACGGTGGTGGTAGGGTGGCAGTGGTGGTCTGCAATTTGTTTTAAATATAAGGGCATTATTGTCCAAAAACTTAATTAAACAAGGATAATGAAAATTGATTTTAAAACAAGGACATTATTGTCCAAATTTTTTTATTAATAAGGGATAAAATTGGAACAAAAATAAGATAACCAAATAATCTTATAATACCTAAAAAAATGGAGTTAATCATATTATCTTCAAGGGGCATTTGGATCATATAATGTTTTATTATAGGGGGATATTAGATTAACAGAATAAAATATCACCTTAAAGATTACTGGGAATGTTTAGAAAATGTATTTGGTTGGTTTGAATAAATTGGTGAATAATATGTTTGGTTGGGAGGATAAATGAGTGAGTATGTTATATAGATTACTAAATTGCCTTTTTTTTTTTTTAAATATTAATATAATAGTATTTTTCTATTATTATTTTTTGAATAATTTCTTTTAACTCACTACTTTTCAGATTTAGCAAAAACACCCTAGTAACCAAAAACATTTTAAACTTAACAAAAACACCTTACCCACCCCAAGCTACTATCGGCAACTAGCCACCACCGTCGGCGACTGCCAACAGTGCCATGGATCTGGCTGTGACACCGATAGTGCCATAGATCTAGCCGTTTCACTATCAAAGATGTGGCTATAAAATGACCACAGATTTGGCTGTGAAATGGCCAGGTCTTTGGTTGTGAAACGCCGGTCGTTTCATGGCCAAATTTGGCCATTTTCGTGGTCAGAAAAGGCCTCACTAGCGCACGGTCGGTCGTAAGCCATTATGACGACTTTGGGCAGCCTCTGACGGCTGTCGACGGTGACTGGCGATGGTGGCTTGTTCTAGGTGCAGTGACATTTCTGTAAATAATGATAATAACAAGGGCAATGTCGTTCGAAAAATTTAAAAAGTGAGGACAAAAGGATCTGAATAAGTGAATTGGGTGTTTTGTAAATCTTAACAAATATAAGGCTAATTTAGACCAAATACTTAATTGTTTAGGGGCAATATGGGACACAAAATTGGATTACCTTACCACCCCAAACCCCCCACCCCCCGGCGAAAGGTAATAATATTCCTGGCAACTTACCCCCAAAATGCCACCATTTGTCATAAAAGATTCCGGGAATAATTTTTTACAAACCAACCAAACATCGTCATCTGCTCAATTTAGAAAATATTACCACAGTTATCTAATATTACCCCCATCTAAACGGGCCCTCAATATTACCAACAGTAACTACTATTAGTATTGGAAGATTACCAAAATCTTATATTATTTAACAACCAAACGTGATAATAAAGTAATATAAGATGACATTACCTTAGTAATCTCATATAACCTCCAACCAAACGCTCCCTTAAAGTAACGTCGTTTCTTTTATTTTAACATATTTTCAACTTTTTATTGTAGTGCAACGCACATTAGCACGCTAAAATACACCGACGCTTTCCTTGGCAGAAGATGGGTTCATTTTAGCAAAAATGGCTCACGTTAGTAGTGTCCAAACTGCTAGTTTTTGGCTTTTGTCGACTGATTTCGAAGACCAAAATCATTTCTAAAACCACCATTGTACTCCTCACAACCTCCTCTACAACTCACTTAGTGTTTTCGATCACCTCCAATACTAAATAATGATATTAGTTTAAGGGTAAAAATTTAGAATAAATACAAACAGAGATATCAATTTAGGATTTCATTAAACCTCGGGTGAGAATATATCATTTACTCTTTAAAGATTATTTGATGAATGTATATAAAGCATCATAATCGTTAAAGATTAATAAAGTGTTAAGGATAAGAACTAAATGGGAGAAAGTGACACGAAGGCTATCCTTCTTTTGCAAGTCGTATAAGAAAGGACCCCGCCATCTCTCTATTTCCACTCTAGAATCTTCCTCACCTACCTCTAGAATCTTCTTCTCATTTTGTCATCTTTCCTTCATTCTTTGCCTCATCTTCCATTTTCCTGCGACATGCTCCTCGGGAATTCTTTCATTTTATTATTTCCATTCTTCATATATGAATATCAGAATATGATTTCAATATTCCTTCATTGGAATAAAACTGTTCTTGGTAAGGTGTATTGTTGGATCAATAACTAAATACAATTATTAATTCCAAAGCTCTAATAAGACCTTCCAAAGTTGTTAGCAACATCTCTAACATAAATTATTTTTAGGTGATCGAGCAGTTCGGTAGAGATTCTTAAATGTATTATTCAAGAGATTCCAAAGTTGTTCCTCTTCGAATGCTAATAGAGATAACTACTATAATTTTTATCCAATCAATAGTTTCAAAGTCTCGAGAGAATAATTAAAGTATGCATAAACTGATATGAACACCTACGTCATTAAAAAAAAAATCATTGACATAAGCGTATTTAATATGATTTTTGGGCCAATTAAGGCCCAACTTCTTGTAAATCTGGCAGCCCAAACTGCTGTATTGACCGAAACCCAGGTTGATTTCTTCCACCCGGGCACATTTCCAGTAACACAATCACATGCATAATAAACCATCATAAACCTTTAATATATTTTCTTAATCACTAATTCAAAAACCAATACCAAATCACTATTTCAATACTATCCTACTGTTCAGGCTCCAAAGGATTGTTAATGCAAAGCAAAAAAATATTTCAATGGCTTTTGTGATTGAATCTGATTTTCAAAGATATTGAAATCAAATTTGTGTTTGTTGTAGAGCAACCAAAGATTGCAAGGGAGGTGCTTATTGAACAATTTCTTAAAAAGTGAAACATTTCCTAAGTTGGCATTCTATTTATCAAATACACAGTTGAAGGATTTTGGTTTATATTGCCGTTTGCAGGGTCTTCTGTTGATATATAGAAAATGTTTTTGGAAGATGATAGGGAGAATCTAACGCAACGATCTCATGAGTAATGACGAACTCACACCATTCTCGGGTGGAGTTGCATAAAGTAGATTTCACGATGAACTCAGTCAGCACATTCTTGAATATGCTGGTGATTTAACTATTATTCTCAAAATCAAAGAGGTCGTAGTACACACGATAACATGACTATGAACATTGTTACAATTAATGTCCATGAATCTCCATTGGCCTAATGCTTCTCAACAGTCATTGGAGAATATTCATGTGCTTTCTAGCAAGGTATTCTCCTGTAGACTAAACGTTGTAAATTTGTGACATCTCATGCTCATGATTGAGAGGATATCTGTCTGGATCCATTGGCAACTGACTGCCATGCAAAGGAAGAGTTGCAGATTATAGCCAATTGTAGCCATTGATTGGATCAAATTTTGATAATGGCAGAGGTTCCACCTGAGGAATCACACGTGAAGAAGCATTAAGCATAAGTTCAAAATATGTTTCTAAAGCACTACATAGATAAGTTTACACAATTTCACAGTAAATGCTTCTCCTCACCATATCTCTAGTAGTTAGGCTCTGCTTGAAGTTATAACATACAACATTCGTAGTAGTTGAGGTTCTACCTGTAACCGAGCCTAGAAAAAATCAGGCCAATGAAATATGAAAAGCCCTGTATACACCCAAAACAAAAAAAAGGTGGTTTATTACCCAACATTACCTGGTATTTCTAACAACATAATATATTGGAATTTGAATCGAGATTACCATATGTATCTACTTCCCTAGTAAATCGAGGGCTTTACACTTGCAGATATATATGTTATTGATTGATTTGGACAGATAAATCAAGGTCAATTGTCTTCTTCTCCAGAAGACTTACGAATTCATCATCATTCGAAGGCAATGGAAATCCCTCAAGATTGCTCATTTCTGGTTCAGTACAATCTACAGACGATTTCTGATTTAATACAAAATAAAGCAACAGAAAATACTAGAAACACAGTAAGAAATAGGTTTGAGGGGATTTGAAGGAAAGAATTTGTTCTGCAAAGGGAAAAAGCATCACTTTTTGATACACATAACACGTGTGCAAGTGAAAGGGTTATTCTGTGTCCTTTTGTGATGGATGAAATGGTTGACAAGGTAATTAACATTGTTATTTAATAAAAGAAAAATCGTGAAAAGTAAAAGCTAATTAAAAGAGTAAAGTGACTCCCACTGTCATTCCCACTTCCTTCTGTCTACTTCCATGGCAAGAAATCTAAAATTTCAAACCATTTTTTAATGTATCCGGCTCCCCTTCTCAGAGAAGTAGTTTCTGCTTTTTTTAGTTTTGCTCTGTTTTTACTGGTCTTCTCCTTTGTATGTTTGTTTTCCAAGTTGATACTGATCTTAAAACTGATGTATTTAATGTTTCAAACTGGAACTGAGAGCTCAAGTTATAAGATTATCATGTTTTTACATTAAGAAGATCATAAACTTTTCTCGGCAAGGTGTATATGTTGACCATTAACTATGAGATTATCATTCGGGTTTAAGGTTCCATCCCAATCTCAATAAAATTCTCACTTGGAGCTCTTACCAGATTGCAGAGTAAAACCTGGAACAAAATAATAACAATCTTGACAGAAGCTATATGAGAAGATAAAAACAATTGAAGCTCTAAGAGCAACATTCATTGGAGAAAATAGATGGAAATTCTATGACAAATTCCATAATGGATATTTTGTACATGGACAGATGAATAGCGTTCCCGTTAAACAAGCTCCCAAGTATCCAGAATTTGGCCATAATATTACATAGAAATACAAACTGACAGAGTTAAAAAGGTCACAAAAGATGCAACCATTATTCTCAACAAGTACATATCTCGAAATACAGTGAAACATTCTTACAATGATAATAAACCACAGTAATACTATTCCCCTACGGAATTTCAATGTGGTTTACAGTCCACATGCTACTGAAGTGTAGCCGATGGTTTCAATGTCTTCGCGAGCAGGAGGAATGTGTCCAATTACTTCTTCACAAGGCTTATTAATTCTTGAGGTCCCATAGTGAAATCACATCTCCAAGCTCACCATCGAACTGAAAATCCTGCACATTACAATCATCACTAAAACCTGGTGAGTATGGGGAGGAACTGAACCCCTGGTAGTGGTCTGGGTTAATTGGCAACTGCGGTGAAGGGATAGGGCTGTCATTCAACCAATCACAGCTATTGGTTGCATCAGATTCAGCTAGTAGTTGAGGATCTACCTGCTGTAAGAATCATAGATAGACGAACATTAGTGGTGTGAAAATGTTTTTCATGTCCCATATCCATATGTATAAGAATAAAGTTGTCCTTACCATCAGGCAAGTAATTTCTGGAATATGATACATCTGGTCGGGAACAAAATCGCCACAGAATAGTAGTTGAGGTTCTACCTGCAATAAGAATCAAAGACGAACAATCAAAATTTATGTGAATATATATATGTTTTTTCTTGAACATGTCCATCTATATAAAGTGAGACTGAAAACTCCAATATTTTTCCTCACCGCTGAGGTTGTACTTTCTGGAAACAAACTTCCTGGATCAGTAACCAAATTGGTAGTCTGTAGTAGTTGAGGTTCCACCTGAAACAAGAATCATGGAGAAACAAGAACCAGTATTAGTTGTATGAATATATATTTCACATAACAATTGAGAACTAACCATAAGCCAGGCAAGCTTTTTCTTACTTCTGAAAAAGAATTTTCTGTAATATTCTTTCCAGAATCAGAAATCAAATTGTGACTGTATGATGTCTGAGATTCAACCTGGACCCAGAACCATAGATAAGTAAGTATTTAAGTCTTGATATGCTTCTCCCGAGGTATGAATAACTTTGATATTGAAAAATGGCCATGAGACATGCTCTATCTTACCTCTGTGTAAGGGTCTTCTGTATTATGGCTTATAGAAACAGAAGACAAACTGTCACCTGGTTGACCATCATCAGAAGTTGATACGGTAGAGTTGTTATTTGATTTTTTTTCTATGAAGCAGACAACAAAATCCTTCTACAAAAAACAAAGAAAAAAAGATCAAAGGTTAAAACATATATAAAATGAGATGTGTAAAATTAATGCAGCCTTTCATTAATTTCAATTACACAGAACATATAGCTTAAACAATGAACAGGCAAGTTAAAAAAAACAAAAATAGAACAAAGAAGTACACCTTATAACGAGGGTTGTCCTCATCCTTAACATAGAACTCGTGCATAACCCAGTCAGTCTTGTCTTCCTTAGAAGTACCACCACCAACACCAAGTCTATAAAAAACCAAATTCTTTTCACTGCCGATGACTCGGCCACTTTTATTCTTGACATCACAACCTCTCCCAGTTATTTTCCAGTATCCCCCATCGGTTCGTCGGCTGGCACGTTTACTCTTCGCATACTTATAGTAAGGTTCACAGGAAAAGTACCATCCTTGTTCGTCGGAGTCACTTTCTTAAAGCCCTGCATCATATTTCAATTCCCATCAGTGATCAGAAACCATTGAAATTAAAATTGAAAGCTTGAAGAAAATCCCACTTACCAGGCAAGTCAGAAGGATCGAACTTGTAGATGTCAACCTCATTAATGTCGGGGTCAGAGAAATCGCGGTGAATCCTCTTCTCCTCCCGAAGACTGATGATTTTCACATGAAAAAGGTAGTACATGAGTCCCACAAGACATCCCATCTGTAATTGATTCAGCACAAATAGTAACGAGGAATGGAAGTGTTTAAGAACAAGAAGAAGGTATGTGTGATTTGATCGGAACGGTTTGCTTGGAAGCAAGAGGCTGAAGCTGAAAGCTCTTATCAGTATTTTATATTCCCAAAAGTGGTAGTGTTGAGGGAGAGTGAGTGCTGCGTATAAACGCGTTGAGAATCTTCAAATGACGTGTTTATTATTACGTCGGGTCCATTTTAATTAGAAAATAAAATAAATGTCCATTTGAATTTTGAAGAAGTTAAGCACGAAAAGATTAAGGATGTGTATTTAGTAGAGAATTTGAAGATTAATTGATAAATTCTTATTTTAATACACGGAACCGTTAAAGTAATGGTTGACGTCGTATCACAGTGTACGGAAATCCTTCCTTTGCAAGTCGTCTAGTCTATTTGGGCCCCACCATCTCCTTCTTCTAAGCTCCTGCTTCGAATAGGTCTTCACTCTAGAATCTTCTCTTATCCATTTGTTATCTTTCTTTGCGTTTTTTTATTTTTTTACGACATGGGTGTAGTCTTATATACTATGACTAGTTTTCAGGATTAATTGAATGTTTTACAAATTCGATTTTCCGATGTGTGTTACAAATGTGGTTACAAATTTTATATTTCAAAGTAAGAATATGGTATTGGTAGGTAGCCAAGTTTGAACGGGGCAAACCCCTTTGAGGGTAAGCCCATCTCTACTCTCGTATTTAAAACAAAAAAAATCATTGATATTGTTATGTTTGGGAAAATAGGGCTGACATGACATCCAATTAAGTGTAAAAGGTCAGACCTTGAGAAGAGCATACTGGCATTCTAGCGCAGTCGCATCGTGTGATTATGGTAACACCCACAGCTTGCTTCCTTCAGAATAATGGGTACACGTCAGGCCAGCCAAGAGTTGTGATGATCCCGCGTATTTAATCCCTGCAGCAAATCACGTGAATTATTCTAAAAGAAGGATTTGCACGGATTATCCCACCAACTTACAGATTCAGTGATAATTACCTCAAGGTATCCCACTATAAAATGAGAGCTCCTCTCTTATAAAGTGGATTCGCACATTTTACTCTTGACAAAACTCTCTCTCTCTCTCTCTCCAGAATAGACAGTCTTTGATACCTTGTATCATCAGTGTAAAGTCAGCTGTCTAAAACGACCTGACCCTTATCATTAATAAAAACATCAGTGGACGTAGGATTTGCTTCCTTAGCATCCGAACCACTTTAAAACTCATTTCTCACTACATTTAGTGTCATTTTCCTTTCCATTCACATGTATCTTTTGGGCCAACTCAACATTTCACACGTGCATTTTGTTGGTGTCAAAATCACGCATCAACAGTTTGGCACTAGAAGGAGTGCTTGATTTAGTGTTCATCCTTCATTAGGAGAATCTCCAACCTACCGGTCCTACAGCAACAAATGGTCCGCCAACCAGAACCTGGGCAAACCAACCAGGGCGCTGAGGGGCTCCCCTAAGTTCAGGGAGACAGCTCTTCCAAAAAACCTTCGGCCTTGCAAAATGCTGCAGGAGATATCCCCGTCAAGTTCACAGCTTGACCCCGTTATTAGAAGCTACCTGGAGAGGTTTGACAATAGTCTCCAGACGGTCAACCGAAGACTGGACCGTTTGGACCAAGGCGTGCCATCCAAGTCAGCTGTGGCGGTGCAACTGCCAAAAACGCCTGTAGGTCGCGCGAAAGCGTGGCAAAGGGAAATAGCCCGTGCCGCGAGCACTGCAGCGCGTAGACGAAAGGGTAAACAAGTGGCAAAAAGCAAGCCCACAGGCTCAAAAGGGCCAGCAAATTTCAACCGCGTCCCGAGCAGAATACCAGTCTCGTTGAGACAAAGGACGCAGCCCGAGCTGTCCCATGCCATGTCGCAAGAGCACACCCATAAAAGTGCTGGACGGGGCGATTCCTATCACCACCAGTAAAACGATCCTGATCGCCATCGTGCAAGAGGGTCCCATACTTCGCGGGGTGGTTCTTACCACCGCGAAGGTCGTGAAAATACCCTGCACCTTTCATTGCCATCACACGCCTCTAGCCGGCGTATGTCGAGAGTGGCCGGAACCGCCAGCCGAGGCGAAGAGGAACTCGACCTCTGGACTTTCCTCAATCGTAATCGCGAGGGTCGAACTCGCATGGGTGAAAGCAATCCCCAAACGGCTCCATTGCCGCAAATTGAGGAGCTGCAGCGAGCTCTAGACAGACTACGAGCTCAGCAAAACGAGCAGGAGCAGGTCGCATCTACGTCCCCCTTCTCTACCGAAGTGTTAGCCGCTCCACTCCCACCAAGATTCAGGATGCCCGACATGCGGGCGTTTGATGGGAACTTCGATCCGCAGGATCATTTGTATGAATTTAACAACCTGATGGAGCTTCACCAGGTCTCAGATCTAGCAAAATGTCGTTGTTTGGCAGTGACTTTGACCTCCCATGCCAAACGGTGGTTCAGGTCGCTCCCAGCAGGATCGATCAGTTCGTGGCCTTAGATGAGCGCGACGTTCCTAAGGCATTTTCAAGCAAATCAGAAGTTCTCGATGCCTTTGAGCTACCTCAACAATATAAGGCAAGAAAGGGATGAATCCCTCTAGTCCTACATTGACCGTTTCTACAGAGAACTCAACAAGGTGGCTCATACTCCCGAAGAGTCTGTTCGGACTCTCATCATAGCCGGAGTCCGTCCACAGACTGACCTATGGAAAGAATTATAGGCTGAGGACGATGTTTCCCTCATTGGATTCTATAATCTTGAGGAGAAGTACCTCCGGATAGAAAATTCAATGTCGGCACTCCGCCGTCGCGACCACGGCGCTTCGGGCAGTGCACCTCGTCGGCGGGATAGTAGAAGAGCTGATCGTAGGGGGGACGTAGACGATCAGCAAAGAGGGAAGAAACCTCGTTACGAGCCCAAAAAGTCCTATGCTCCAGTCCCTCGTCGCAATCGTGACAGAAACAAATATACTCCACTGAATGCATCTATATTGGCTATTCTCGATAAATCCAAGAAGGCCAGCCTGCTCGAAGAGCACGAGCCCATGAAAACTCCAGCGACAGCCAGAAATAATAAAAAATATTGTCGCTATCATCGGGACAATGGGCACCATACCGATGAATGCCGAGCTCTCAAGCAGGCGATCGAAAACCTTATCAAGCAGAGACATTTCAAGAAGTATATTGATGACTCTGCTCCCTCACAAGAGAAAAATCAGGGGGAGTCAAGTAAGAAGCGCTGCGATAAAAAAGGAGTGTGCACCCTTAATTTAATTTTTAAGGGACCGCACTTCGCAGGAAACTCGCGAGGTGCCCAAGAAAGGTATGCTTGCGAGTCACATCACGAGCCCATCAGAGCGATAAGCATGGCACATCGACTACAGAAGGTTCGCCGGGAGGAGGAGGAGGAAATTTCATTCTCCGAAAAAAATGCGGCCCAGCTGCATCATCCTCACGAAGATGCCCTTGTGATAACGCCCCTCATAGGATGCCATAATGTCCAGAGAATGTTAGTGGATAACGGAAGTGCTATGAACATTCTGTTCGCTTCAACTTTCGAAAGAATGAATTTGGACGAGGCAGACCTAAAGCCTGCCTCGTTCCCTCTATATGGCTTCACAGGGGACCACCTGCTCCTCAAGAGCACGATCTCACTCCCAGTTACGCTGGGTGACTTCGACGAGGTGACCAGAGTAATTGAGTTCTTGGTAGTGGATTGCCCATCCGCCTTTAATGGAATTATGGGGCGACCTCTGCTGAGACACTTCAAGGCGGTCACTTCAATATACCATTTGAAAATGAAGTTCCCCACCTCGACGGGGATTGGGGAAGTTAGCGGATCTCAACGAGCAGCTCGGGACTGCTATGTGAAAGCAGTACAGATGGCGTGCAAAGGCAAAGGCACCTCACGTGACAATCACAACCAGACAATGGCGATTAGCCAGATCGAGCCACAGCTTGGCCCAACCAAGGATAATATAGATCCTCGCATTCAGGACTGCCCTTCCAGTGGGCCAGTTGAGGACCTGACCGAAGTACTGGTCGACCAGACCGAACCAAGCAGGGTACTCAAGATCGGTAAAAATCTCAATCCCCAGCTCGCTACCGAACTGACCAGCTTCCTCAGGGAAAACATCGATGTGTTTGCATGGTCGCACGCAGATATGGTTGGGATTAGCCCGAATGTTATTTGCCATGCATAAAACATCGACAGTGAAGCCAAGCCAGTTCGCCAAAAGAGGAGACCGATGGACCCGGAACGATATGCTGCCTTGAAGCTCGAGGTTGGTAACCTCCTCCGAAATGGATCCATCCGAGAAGCACTCCATCCGACCTGGGTTGCCAACCCAGTTCTAGTAAAGAAGCCTAACGGCAAATGGCACACCTGCGTCGACTTTACCAACCTCAACAAGGCATGTCCGAAAGATAGTTTTTCCCTGCCAAGAATTGACCAGCTCGTGGATGCCACCTCGGGGCACGAGCTGTTAAGTTTTATGGACGCGTACTCGGGATATAATCAAATTCTGATGCACGGGCCAGACGAAGAGCATATATCTTTTATTACAGATCGGGGACTGTACTGCTACAAAGTTATGCCCTTCGGCCTCAAGAACGCTGGTGCAACTTACTAGCAACTGGTTAACCGGATGTTCTCTGAATAGATAGGCAGATTGATGGAGGTCTACGTAGACGACGTGCTGGTAAAGTCGCATGTCGCTTCAGATCATGTAGCACATCTCGCTGAGATGTTTGGCATCCTCCGGCAGTACTGAATGAAGTTGAACCCCTTCAAATGTTCATTCGGAGTATCCTCGGGAAAATTCCTAGGGTACATGGTTAACCAGCGGGGAATTGAGATCAACCCCGAAAAAATCCAAGCTCTCCTCGATATGAAGAGCCTGACCAACAAAAAACAGGTTATGAGCCTGAGCGGGCGTATAACGGCGCTAAGTCGCTTCATATCGAGGCTAACAGATCGCTGCTTGCCATTCTTCAATGTACTCAAGGCCAATAAGAAGTTTGAATGGACTCCCGAGTGTGAACAGGCCTTTTAGAGAATAAAGGAACACCTCGGGAAGCCACCACTTCTGTCTAAACCTCTCCCACAAGAGATCCTCCTTTTGTACC